CCGTGTCCCCTGCATTGGCAGGCGGACTCTCAGCCTGGTATTTTTAAAGTGTTTCAAAATTATAAACTATGAGGGAAGATATTAAAATATAAAACAATAGGTGTGATTTCTTTTTCCTTAAATCTCAGAGACTGGATTTCATTTATTCCACTATTTTATCTGTGTTTGATGTTCACATAATACTTTACAACTGCTAATTAATCACGGTACATTCCAGCGATTATTATAACATTAAAATCACTTCGCTTGGGGTTGCTGGAGGCGCCACTGGAGCCCGCTTGCCTGACAGCTCCACACAAGAGCCCTAGGTTGGGCGGCAGTTCCAGCCACATCGGCTCCCGGCTCCCGGCCACCTGGCGGCACAACCGCGGGCCGACATTGCCGCCGCCCAGGCGGCGCTGTTGAGCGCGGTTCCCCGGAGCAGCGGCGCTGCCCGGCTTTGCCCGCCAAGCTCCGGGCCCCTGGCCCCCGACTCGGCGCTGAGGACAGGACCCCACCGCCCACTCTGCAGCAGCCTGGCACTGCACGATATCCAGGGCGCCTTCCAACTCCAGAGCAAATTTTTGAGAACATAAAGCAAGAATATAGTCATTATCAGAAGTGGAGTCATTCAGAAGTTGTTCTTAATCAGAGTAAAGCTTACGTTTCCGAAAGTCGTTCTCCCTCCTCGGCACACCCAGCACCTAGTTCTCCAGGTTCCTCCTGGATGAAGAACGACCAGTCCCCCTTTACTCTCCAACAAATTGGAATAATATGTGGGCATCTCTTAAAAGACTAGCAAGAATGTGTCTTTTACGTTATTGTTTATTCAAAATTTTTTCTTTTTTTTTTTTTTATCTTGGGGATTCTGGCTGTGAATTTGACACATGATGACTATGGTTAAAAGCATTTCCTTGGTGTACAGAAGATCATTAATGTTTTGGGACCATGTACATTATAACAGTAGATTATGTGTAGGTATTATTATTAAATACAGGGGCTGTTTCCAGGCACAGAATATGAATCATAAGTTAGTATGGACATCAGATGTTCTTATAATGACATAGCAAAAGTCTATGGTCCTAGGTCTACAAATGCATGGTGGGAGACTAGGACAAAGCAGAAATGAGCCATTTGACAGCTGGATTCTCCCTAGCTGATATTAGGAAAATACTTTGACTCCAACACTTAAAATACCCATGTGGCGTCTGTGTTCATCTCATTCACATAAAGAGCTCCCTGGACACTGAACCTCTAAAAAGAAAATGTCTCCTCTGGAGTAAAAGCATCAGGATTTACTTGGGAGCTTAGCATAGGTGAACACAGGGTGGGTCAGATTCCAGAGGCATTGCTTCTTGGGAGAAACCACTTCTTGGGAGAAACCACTTGACCTTTGTATCCATTATTAAAAATAGAATTTGGATTCTTTGGTCAGGTTCCCCCAAGTTCTTTTAAGAGGTGTCCACGGTCAACTGCTTAAGCTTTGTTTTGGCAGCCCCCTGACCAAAATTGCTTATGGACTGTTTTTCACCTTGTTTCCAAGGCTGAGGAACAGAAAGCAGCCTCTGCTTGGAGGAAGTGGAAGTATACATTTATTTATTTGCTGCTACTTGTTCGGGACCACATTTTATAAAATGCTTTCTATTATTATTATTTCTAGAAAGAAAAGTTCTATTAAAATCGTTTTAGTTTCAATATAGGATAGGTTTTTTAATAGGGCTTATTTTGAAATATTGAGTTTAATTCAAATGAAAAAAAAAGTTATAGGTAACCTCATTAATGCAGTTGCAAAACTCCTAAATAAAGCATTCACAAACTACACTCATCAATGAACAAGAAATAACACTACACCATAATCAATGGTGGATCTAGAAAGGCAGGGATTTTCCAGCACTGGAAAATCTATTTATGGAGGTCGTTGACTTTTAAATAATATTTAAATCCTTGGTAATAAAGAAGATTCCCTAAGAAAGATGAGTTAGATACAGAGAAAGTGATTCCCAAAAATGTGACCTGCAACATTTAAAGCTTATGCAAAGGAGACTCCAAAGGAGCAGCCAATGAAATGAGGGTGGAGTAGGAAAGAGGGATGTGTGGTGTCAAGGCATCCAAGAGAAGAAATTGTTTCAAGCGGCCAAGCTCTGAGACGTTAAGTAACATGAGGACTCAGAATTGACTATTAATTCAGCACAGTGGTGGTCAGTATTTCTGTGATAAACACAATCTCTGTGGAGTCATGGGAGAGGAACCTGATTGGACAGGGTTAAGGAAAAATGTAAAGTGAGGAAATGGAGCCCAGACTGTAGAAAACTCTTTTAAGAAGTTAAGTACTGAAGGGAACAGATAAATGGCGCAGTAGCTTGGCTCTTTTAAGAGGAGTGGGTAAAGAAAGTTTTGTTTCTTTGTATACTATTTAATATTTGTTGTTGTTGTTATTTAAGGATGATAGGTACTGGACATATTTTACACCGAAGGGAATAATCAAGGAATAAAAGTTTGATGATGCAGGAGAGAAAAGAGAGAATTATGGGAGCAATGTTTTCTCCCTCAGCCAGGAACACCTTGCCAATCTCCAGCTCAGGTGAAACTCAACTGTCTGCCATGCTCCCGAACTCAAGCAGCTGAACATAGTGGAGGAAAAAATACACAGCTAGTCTCACTTAAAATCCATGACTACAAATCTCAAAAGAGCACATAACATTAACCAACAATCCTTCTACACTTCGCTAATATGATGACTTCACCTCTCTGCAAAATAACTACATCACACGTTCTTATCTCTCCAAAAACAAACGGTCTTCACCACCTCCACTAAAATAGGAGCTATTAGATAGACATCCTCTCATCTTCCCACCGCCAAATCTACCTGCATTCCTGTACCTTCCTTCTTTCTTCTGTCTCTCTGTGTGGTCTGGACCCCACTTCATTATAAGAGGACAGCAGCTGAAGGATGACTGAAATATTTCGGCTTTCTTAGAAGAAATAATAAGCCCAAATAAAACTGAAAAATTGCTAAAATTATACAAAACAAAAATGTGACTAAAATTAATGGAGGAAAAAAAATTAATGGAAGAATTCAATCTCCTTGAAAAAGTTAGATTTACAAACTTGACCTGGGGAAATAAGATTTGGTAGTAATAACGCACCCAAATAAAGGTCCCATACTATGTGCCATCACCTATAAAAATCTTCATTAGAAAACTTATACAGAAAAGCTGTCCCCTAAAGAAAATGATTCAGTAAAATAATAATAAAATGGTAGATTTTGACTGTGAAAATCAATCAAGGCCATAAATAGTTATTAACACGCTGATATTTAGAAATGAAGCCCAAACAGTCTTTTATAAAAATATTGGGAAAAAAACTGTCAGAGAGGTCAAAATGTCCTATACTAATTTGTTATACTTCCTTCCAGACCTATTCCTATGTATTCAGAAGAGAGGAGTTCACTCCCCACTGCTCCAGCTTAGGGTCCTCAAGCATAATCAGCTGGTGAGAACATAGTACAGACAGAGGACAGTTCCCCCAGAGTGTAGACTGAATGATCAGCGGGCATAGGCCCCGCATTCAGGCAATATGAAGTTCTCTTTCATAGGAAGTCTGGCGGCGCAGTGGTTGAGAGTCCGCCTGCTGATGCAGAGGACACGGGTTCGTGCCCCAGTCCGGAAAGATCCCACATGCCACGGAGCGGCTGGGCCCGTGAGCCACGGCCGCTGAGCCTGCGCGTCCGGAGCTCCGCAACGGGAGAGGCCACAACAGCGAGAGGCCCGGGTACCGCAACAACAACAACAACAAAAATGGAGACATAGGAAGTCTGGGTGGCCAGGTCTCTGATCCAGCATGGCTTTTGGCGCCTCACAGCAGTCCTCCATCAGACTATCTGCCCTTACACCTTCTATACAGGGGCTCTTCCTTGGACCACATTTTCCATTTGGGGGCTCCTGGCATTTTACCTTCCTTTCCTACCCCCAGCATCTTTCCATGCTCCCCTTTTGCCCTATAGACTTTTTCCATTTCTCTTGTAATATCCTTTTTTTAAGGATTCCAAGAATTTATTTTACTAGAAAAAAATTTAATATCCAGTCTCACTAGTAATCAAAGATAAATTCTATAATTTAAAATAACAATGAGATACCATTTTCACCTATCAAATTGGCAACAGTTGACACAATTAAAGGGGGGGTGGATATTACTCACAGCAGCTGAGAAACTGCAAATTGGCTCAACTTTCTGGAAGATGATTGGGCAAGACATCAAAATCTTTTAAATGTTCACCCTCCTTAACCCAATAATTCTGCTTCTAGGAACCTATCTTTTTTCTCCTTTTCCTTTTTTTCATTGATATATAATGTTGTTTAAGGTGTACAATATGCTGGTTTGATATACTCTTGCAAAGTGATTAGCACCATAGTGTTAGCTAACACCTACATCAAGTCACACAATTCCCATTTCTTTTCTGTAGTGAGAACATTGAAGATCTACTTTCTTAGCAACTTTCAAGTGTATAACACAGTATTGTTAACCATAATCATCATGCTGTACATTAGAGCCCCAAAACTTATTTGGCTTATAACTGGAAGTTTGTACCTTTTGACAAACTTCTCTCACTCCTCAGCCCCTGATTAACAGGGTAGACTACTCTCAGTTCGAATTTTTTTTTATTTTTTTATAGATTCCAAATAAGTGCTATCATACAGTGTTTGTCTTTCTCTGTCTGACTTACCTCACTTAGTGTAATACCCTCAAGGCCCATCCATGTTGTTGCAAATGGCTGTAATATCCTTTACTGTTTGTTAGAAAGAACCTCAGTGTCTTTAATGAGAAACTGATTTCAAGCCACTTCCCACTCTGCATTTAAAGAGCTTGGCAGTAGCCGCTCCAACCTAACAACAAGTAAAAAGCTAAACATAATGAAAAATCAACAACTCTTCTTGGATCCACAAAATAGGGGAGAGAACACATGGCAAATTTCTGCCCCCAAGACTGGAGAGACAGACAGCGAATACAGAGTCATGACTTACCAGAGCAGAAACGCACTTAGCCGAAATGACCTCAGGAACCAGCGTCAGGGTAGGAAAACCGGACCTGTAATTGATGAATTGCTGGAGGCTCAGTATGGACAACTCTGAGAGTTAAAAACTCCAGGGCACCCAGTCATAGGGGCCCCCCACGATATCGTGAGATTCGCTTCCAGGAGCTTGAGCAGGTTCCCACGGTAAATGTTGGAGAAAAATCCTCTCCTGCTTCCAGCAGGAGGAAGGGAAAATACGCCAGAACACTGCGTGCTTCTTAACAAGGCCTGCCCTCAGGAGAAACTAGTTAACCGGAGCCTAAGAACCTAACCTGCTGCAGTATTATTAGAATCTAACTCACCTGGAGGGAAGGGAAATACTCCAGTCAGCTCTAGCCTTCCACATGGGGGAGGGGAAGTACCCAGCGGCAGCCCACTCTAGCCATCCTGTCCCACCTAAGGGGGGAGAAAAAAATGGAGAAACACTTGTGAAGTTCGCAATCCAGAGGCACAGCTTCACTGAAAGACTGAGACCTAATCATAAGACTATAGAATGCTTCTCCTCCAATGCATACCTCATTACCACATTCCTAAAGGCCAATACAGCAGTTCCTTTTACCCAGTACATCATGGCTCGCTATGAAAAAAAAAAAATTACAAAGCATACTAAAAGTAAACAACAGCAACAACAATGCCTACATAGTATTCCAATAGAAGAATGCATCCTATTTTGTTTATACACTCTCCTATCTATATCGTTTAAAATTTCCACTGTCCTAAAGCAATAAAAACCCACATATATATATATATTTGTGGAATCAGATGGTAAATTTCCTTAGGACATATTTCTAAAAATCATTTGCCAGAAGTTTGAAAATAATAGATTATCACTAGCTTAGTAAACAAATACTGTACAATATCACTTATGCATGGAATCTAAAAAACTACAACAAACTAGTGAATATAGTAAAAAAGAAACAGACTCATAGAGTCTGTTACCAATAGGGAAAGGGAAGGGGGAGGAGCAATATAGGAGTAGGGAATTAAGAGGTACAAACTAGTAGGTATAAAAAAAGCTACAGGGGGGCTTCCCTGGTGGCGCAGTGGTTGAGAGTCTGCCTGCCGATGCAGGGGACACGGGTTCGTGCCCCGGTTGGGGAAGATCCCACATGCCACAGAGCGGCTAGGCCCGTGAACCGTGGCCGCTGAGCCTGCGCGTCCGGAGCCTGTGCTCCGCAACGGGAGAGGCCACAACAGTGAAAGGCCCGCGTACAGAAAAAAAAAAAAAGCTACAGGGATATATTGTACAACAAGAGGAATATAACAAATATTTTATAATAACTATAAATGGAGTATAACCTTTAAATTTTTTGAATCACTATATTGTACACCTGTAATATACAATAATTTTAAAAAAATCAAAAAAAAACCCAACCCCAGCCTAAGGCACAGAAGAGCATGGGGAGAAATGTGGGAAGAGGAGAAAATAAGTAGGTCTAGGAAAGTTTATGACCATGTATGTTACTTTTTTCACCTCTTAAACTGTTTATATTAATTGTTTGAATATGGTAAAAATATCCTTGGACTTCACAGAATATATGGAGAAAAGTAAGTCTGCCTCTCAAATGTCTCCCAGTTGCTAGGTTTCTCCCTAGTTTCTCTGTCCTTCTAGATATCAGGATGAAGCATAAAAAAAGCCACTGTTGTAGCTCTTACATGGTTTAAAGTTTTAAGAAATGTAATATGGTTCCACCTAATATGATATGCACGTCCATTTAATTTTCCAAATATATGACCATAATATATTCAGTGACTTTTTCACATATATCAGGATGTTTTGCTATCAACTTCTCTCCTCAGTGGGAACAAAATATCTGAAAATCAGCTTTTAAAAATTAAAACTGCCAAGGGATGTCAGATAAGTGGAGTAGAGGAGGTCTTGGGTGTGGTGTTACTCATTTTCCTAAAATGAAAAACGGTTTCCTTTAACTTGAAGAGGGAGCAACACGTTTGAAGTCTATAAATTACATAAACAAATGATAAGAAAACATATTGTGTGAAGAATATCTCCCACTAACAAAGCCTAATGGTTTCCTACAGTCGGAGACAGCCCAGCCTCTGGCTATGCAGGCACGTAGGCTAGAGGGTGCTGTAGTTCAGTCCTAATGTGTTGGTTCCTGCAGCCAGGATTTGGGGATAAAATTGCCTAGAATAGTTTTTGCACCATTAGAGGACCATGGGTGAATAGTTTGCCTATTGCAACCCCACTCCCTGAAGTACATTTTCTGCTAAAAAAAAAAAAAAAAAAAAAAGGAAATTACTAAATCTTGGCTGTGTAACTAAAATAATATCTTTTCAAAGAAAATTCAGATTATAGAACTGAAAGAAACCATGGAGGGTCCATGGTTCTTAACAGCAAATCATATCAGTAATGCCATGGCATCTTAACTAATCGTTCAAAGGCAATAAAATGACTTTTTTCAAGTTTGAAACCAGATCTTTGGACACTGCAGCATTGGAAAGTGATCCTTCCTATTTTAGTTGTCCAGCTTTTCTGAATAACTGCTCAGTCACCTCTTCAAAAGACATTCCTTATTATTCTCTCCACAAAGTGTATCTAGAATCGCTATATCCTGGTCAACTCTGCTAACCCAAAAAGTACATTTCCTCACTCCCGGTCTCTGAATAAATTTATCCCTATACACAGTATAAATTTTGTCTATTCATGTATTGGTTTTATTTTGACCTTCCCTTGCCTCTCTGTAGTGCATTGGTGTTCCTGTTAGTTTCTAACTTAAAAGCATTCGGTTTTATGTTAAGCTGTTTGTTTCAATGGGAAAACATGTTCCTGTGTCAGATTAGAAAATGATGGTTGCGCATCCAAGCTAGACCACCAAAAACTATTTAATCTATAATTTACCTGAACCATGATGCCGATGCCCCTTTATCAATTACACCTCCATTCCATTGAATAAGTATTGACTAGGCATGCATTGGAAGATTCTGTTGCGTTCCTGTTGTGGGACACTAGCAACAAAAATTTCTCTTCACTTCAGTAGGAAGCATGACCACTGGCTGTAGAGTCAAAAAGGATTGCTGGGCATCAGTCTCAGTGTTCACTCGCTGTATTTGAAGTACCCCTGGTCCTCGGGAATATTCTTGTTTTGTGTTCAATAGACATCTATTCTGAAAAATAGTGTGTAGTGGCTCTCAAACTAATGAAAGAATGAAAACATGGCAAAATTCAAGTGGGAGCAGTTAGTTCAGACAGTATTTCGTTTAGTAATTAAATGAGTGAGTCAAGGTAAGCCAGCCCACAAACTCAGCTACCCCAACTGTTTCCTTTTCTTTAAAGTTAGCAGCAGATATGTAGGGAGCATTAGGGCAACAGCAAAAGAGAAACCTAGGAGACTTCTCTAAATCTTGCCACTTCTCAAAATGGAAGTAAAAGAGTGTGGGGAGAAATTAAAAATGGAGAAGATAGAAAGTTTATCTGGGTGCCTTCGGTGAGAAGCAGGGTCAGTTCCTACAGCCTGGTTAGGATGTGGTTTGTTCTGGTTCATTTGTAAATGATTATAGGAGATTTTCCTAAAAGCAACAATGATGTTGCTGCTGTGTTATCAGTTTATATCACCTCATGAACGAGAACATACCTGGACAAGATTAAAGACTCCAGGTCGCACTTAACATTTCTAACCCTCTGCCAGCTGCCTCTCAAATTGCTTATAAGGTCACCAGCAATGAGGCGTGTAAGTGTGGATAGCTCTGTGAAAACCCACCATCACTAATGAAAACAAACTCCAGTGTCTGGTCCAGTGTCAATGAGTCAATCACATCCTATTTGTAAGGAAAAGACAGTAGTATTTATTGTGTGGACAGTGGTCCATTAACACACCTTTTTTTCAGAATATTAGTTTGTTTGCTTATAAGTGGACATATTCACTGCACAAAGACAAATGTTCTCATGCTGAACAGAAGGTAAACACTGTTCTCAGAGTTTTCTCTCTTTGATGAGCTTTGCTGTATGGGTGGAATATGGAGGGTGATGGGGAAATAGGGAGAATGATTATGGAATAAGCAGCAAATGTTTCCTGGTAGTTGGTTTACCTAAGATTAAATGCAATTACCTGTTCCTCTGACTCACTAAAAAGCTTCTCAGTCCAAGAGGCAAGGTCTGCACCTTGTATGTGAGGGAAGCCAAAGGCCTTTCTGATTACTTACCTGCCAGAATAGCCACATTAGCACAGACCATGGGAGTGGATTAATCCATCATCAACTGTAGTCATCTAAGAGAGAAAATTTCCCTAGAAAATAAATCCACCCTGCTGAGACTGAGGTGTTGTAATGGATGGTGAGTGCTCTAAAAAGGGAAAGAGTATTAACATTATAGGACTAGAGGATAGTTTCCTTAGTTATAAAAGCTTCTTGATCTAATAATTGGTTTATATTTTGGATTTTATCTGAAATAATATAAATATGGCTTGATGGTATAGTGGAAAAGTAATGATTGAAATAATAGACAGTAGCCGTCTTTCCATAGAGTTGAGGGTTTGTCCTACTGTTTTGTAAACCTGGTCAACAATTTCCTGAACATTATCATTAAAAAAAAAGAAAGATATATGGCCATTTGACAAAGACAACTATATAAACAAAGTTCTGTCTTTCAATATAAGCAAGACTGATACAGCTGGAAATATATTCCCCTAAGTTAGGAATATATATATATATATATATATATATATATATATATATATATATATAATGTATGTGTAGGTGTGTATGCTGTGATATATGTTATATATGCTATATATGTAACTATGATGAAAGCTACATCATTCTTGGGATATTGTTAACCATTTAAGTCCAAATTCAGACTTGACCAAGTGAAGAGAAGCCATGAGCAATTATCTAGCACTGGGAAAAGACAGAGCTTGGCATTGCAAAATCTGGGATGGAGTCCCTGCCCAGTCCCTTGAGTTAGTCACTTAATCCCTCTAAGCTTCATTTTACTACATCAAATTAAGAATAATATGTTACTTCACAGGGTGTTTGGGCATTCAAATGCCATAATGGAAATGTATATACTTCATAAATTATAAAATACTCTACAAATGTCATTTTAAGACATTTAAAACATTTGAAAAGTAATATCTGAGACAACTTCCTGGCTGAGCAGGGCTTTCAGGAATTATTTAAATAGAAGAGTATCAGAAATTGAACTTGGCATAATTAAGTATGAGACAGTCACAATTCATGCTCACTTTCCAGGCCAATGTACTTACTCCAGGATCCCCATGCCTTCTGGCTGTGGAAGACCTACTCTGTGGACCTGGAAGTCAAGGGGAAATTTTTCAGGCTCTTGAATGACCAGGACTAGCTGGTTTCTTCACTCATTTTCTGTACTAGGCTCTGGAGATACAGAGAAGACTAATAGCCAAGGCACCTGCTCTTCTGGAGCTTAGAGTCTAGTAAGAGAGACACAACTTAGTCAAGTAATTACCCAAATACATAAAAAGAGTATAAAGCCTTTAAGAGTTCAGGTGGCTCTGAAGCATATTAAATATGGACTTGATCTATTTTAGTTTTGTCAGAAAGCTTTCCTGAGGAAGTAACATTTGGCCTAAAACATGGTAGCAACAAGATGAACTTGGGGCAGGGTAGAGACGATGGTAGAGAGGGAACTGCTTTGGCAAAGACATTGAGACAAAAAGAACTGAAAGAAGGATGTGTTGAAGGAGCCTGAGATTGGCGGCAGTAAAAGACACAAGCAGGAGCCAGTCTTTATCTAAGAGCAGAGAAATGGCAAGATTACGTTTTTGAAATAGCACTGTGGAGTGAATTGGTGGGCTGGGAGGCAAAAGTGAAAAACAGTAAGTTTGATCAACATGGAAAGTTTGATTCAACAGAGAGCAGTTGTTAGCTTCAAAAGAGGTCTGGGCACCATCCCATATCTATGGATGTAAATTAAGAGAAAATGCTGATGAATAAGTCTTGAGGGGCTCCAACTTTTAACGCTTCAATAGAGAAGGATAAGTCTAAAAAGAAGAGGTAGGAAGGTAAGAGGGACGTTAAGAGCTGCAGGGGGGAAAATGCTGCTGAGTGGTCAAGTAAGATGAAGACTGAAAAAAGGCTCATTGGGTTTAGTGACATGGAGGCCATTAAGTCATTAGCAAGAACTATATTGGAGGAGAGATGGGGACAAATGTCAGTCAAAGAGTGAGAAGAAATGGTTATGAAAATTGTAAGTGAAAGATTGTAGTAGCTGAGGGAGAAAGATAGGGAAATATTGGGAGACATTTTATCCACCCCTCAAATTGTGAGCCGGTCACTCAATCTATTAGTCTAGAATTTCTTTCTCCCTTAAATTTGGGGTGGTGTTGGTCCTTAGATAGTATTTGAAGAGGAGGATGGAGATTAGACTCATATATATATAGACTGTAAAATTTAAAAAGTAAATAAGTAAACGGGTTATTCATTTCCTCACTACCCACTACCAGCAAGCGCCATGTCAGGATTTATGATTTCTAAAAGCGACTCTCAATGGTATGGTGCTGGAAGGAAAGGAAAAACAAAGATGTAATATTTCTCTACATAAGTGTGGGGCTTCCCTCTCTTTCCAAGACTTCTTTTCCCAAACCATTATTTAAAGCCATGTCCTGTCCCCTCCTAGCATCTCTTATGGGTCCATTTCATCCATCTCTGTCTTCACTGGCTTGGAAACATCTCCTTCTATATTAGGCCCTAGACAGGTATGGCCCCAGGGGTTTGGGGGATACCACTGCCTTCTCTATCCCAGTCATCATTCCTCATTCCTTGTCCTCTCACGGTAGACAGACTTCCACCGAGCACCCAGCCTTTGGTGTTATGCTGGCCTGTGCCGAGGTTGACAGAGATGAGATTCCAGCCCCACTTGCTAGTCTGTCAGTTCCTCTCTGCCACTCACTGATAATAAACCACATACCACAGTTGGCAATTGGCACTTGTCTTGCATGTCCTGCTGAGCCCAGCTCCCAAACATCTTATAGTTCCTGATACCTCTTCTTAGAAGTTTTCTTCTAGCTGAACCTAGATGTTGATGGGCAGTGTAGTATATTCTACAACTCAAATTATTTTTTTAAAAAGTAAATTTAGGGCTTCCCTGGTGGCGCAGTGGTTGAGAGTCCACCTGCCGATGCAGGGGACACGAGTTCGTGCCCTGGTCCGGGAAGATCCCACATGCCGCGGAGCAGCTGGGCCCATGAGCCATGGCCGCTGAGCCTGCACGTCCGGAGCCCGTGTTCCGCAACGGGAGAGACCACAGCAGTGAGAGGCCCGCGTACCGCAAAAAAAAAAAAAAAAAAAAAAAAAGTCAATCCTAAAGGTTACATCATATATGAGTCCATTTACACAACATTTTTGAAATGACAAAATTTCGGAAATGCAGAGTGGATTAGTAGTTGCTAGGGGTTAGGGATGGGGGTGAGAGGTGTAGAAGGGAGAAAAGTGGGTATGGTATAAAAGGGCAACAGTATTTTGTTCAGTATCTTGACTGTGGTAACAGATGCAGGAAAACCTACACATGATAAAATTGTATAGACTAAACACACACACGCACCCACACAAATAAGTACAAGTAAAACTGGGGACATCTCAGTAAGATCAGTGGATTGCATTAAGTCCATATCATGGTTATGATGATACACTAGAGTTTGCAAAATGTTACCATAAAGAGAAACTTGTATCCCTCTGTACCACTGCTTACAATAGCATGTGCATCTGTAACTATCTCAATTGAAAATTTCAACTAAAAAAAGAAGGCAAAGCAAATTTTCTTACCACAGTCTTTATCACCATGAGTTTCTTTTCTTTGCGAGGTACTCTAAGCAAAATGGTGATGAGCAGTGATCATTAGTAACCACATGCTTTGCCACACATGGGTTAAGACAGCTGTGTCAATAGGATAGCCTACCACATGAGCTATAGTTCAAGCACTTTTTTATTCAGACAGTCAATGGGTACTTTAGAGTCTGTTCAAATAACATCAGAAGCCAATTTACTATATGAAAACTACAACTATTAATTTTTCCCAAATCTGTTTTTTCATAATCCACTGCTATGAAAATGTAAGCATGAATCTCCTCCTGGGCAGGAGTTTGCAAAAGGCTCTACAACTTGCCTAACAAAACTTTGACTTTGCTTCTT